GCTTTCCTAGCTTTGGCTCCTACTTCTGCCTACTATTTTCACATGGTTTCAGAGTGATATTCTCCTGGCCTGTGGGCCCACCACTTCACTGCTTCCGTTGCTACTGCTACTCCCTAGCCACCGCGCGCCTCGTGGTGCGCGGCGTCGAAATTAGGGTTTTCAGCCCCCCGTGCTCCCCGAGGCGCGCGGCGGTTCTCTGCCCGCCGTGCCTCCCGAGGCGTGCGGTGGGTTTCTGCCCCGTCACTCGGCGCGTCGCCCGCAGGAGGCGTTGCGACGGGTGACGGGGACTCGCGCGTCGCTCCGCGTCGCCCGTCATGGCCGGCGCGCGGCCCGTACAGGCTCCGCACGGCCCGTACGGGCTGCGCCAGGCCCGCGTGCGACTCGGGCCGCCTGCGCGATGTTCGGGCGGCTGTGCCAGGCCCGTGGGCGGCCCGTTCTTCGCTGCCCCTGCGCTGCCCGCTGTCCCCCATGCCTCTGATGGCGCCCCACCCCTCCTGCAGCCCGTTCTCCTGGATTAGGGTTTGGGGGTGAGGGGTATGGGGGTGCAGCTTCTGTGTGCCGTCCCCTGCTTCTCCTCCTCCTCCGTCTCCCAGTTCTGCAGCTGCCGCTGAGGGGGGTGGACCTGTTGGAGCCGTCGGAGTGGTACTAAGGGGGGTGAAGGGGGAGTGGAGCTAGGGGTGAAGCAGGGGGTGTGTGTCAGGAGGGGTGGGACTGCTTGGGGAAGTTGAATGGAGGTTGCCGTCGTGTCGCCAGCAGCACCTGTAGTCCGGGGAGTTGCTCTGGTAGCCCAGTCGCAGCCACCTGTGCCAGTCGCCCGTGGGTTCGTTGCTCGTCTGCCGCTACTTTTAGCCGCGGGGCCAGTTACTCCAGCCGTTCGGAGCGTTGTTCTGGTAGCCGCTGTGCCAGTGTGCCTCCTGTTGCACGTGTGTCTGCAGCTTCAGTCGTCGCCTCCTATCTCCTCTCCTCTTACAGTCTCACCTCCTCCTCCTTACTTGCCCTTTACGATAGCCTCTAGCTTTGCTTACACTTGTGAACTTTAAATTGTTGCTTCTTGAACTTGTGCTCAGAATGTGTGGTGACATTGTGATCCACCCTGAGCTTGTTCTACTTTGCTTGATCTGCTGATTACACCCAACTTTTGGCTATGGGGGTGTGTCAGAATGTTATTATTCTCTAGCCTGCAGTGGGGTACTCTATAGCGAGCACAACCCCTTTAGGGTTTCATATATGTATCTTGCTGCTTTCTAATGAAACTCTCTCTCTTTGCCGAAACTGTTTCTTGCCTAGCTAGGGCTTTCCTAGCGCCTACTATTTTCAAAGTTCTCCGCCTGCCTTCAAGGCGCGTTACGTGGCCCGAGGCTTCAGTCAGCGGCAGGGAGTTGACTACTTTCAGACCTTCTCTCCCACCCTGAAGATGACCACTCTTCGGGTGCTGCTACACATAGCCGCTCAACGCGACTACGAGCTTCACTCTCTTAACTTCAGCACAGCTTTCCTGCAGGGCAGCCTGCACGAGGAGATCTGGCTACACCGCCCACCTGGCTTCACTAGGTCGCTTCCTCGTGGTACCCAATGGAGCCTCCGGCAGCCAGTCTACGGTCTTCGCCAGGCGCCCCGTGAGTGGCACAACACAATGAGGACTACACTTGCGGCTCTTGGGTTTGCTCCTTCTACTGCCGACCCGTCGCTGTTTCTGCTCATCGACACCTCTTTGCCGCCGTTCTACATCCTCGTGTACGTCGACGACTTGGTCTTTGCCACTGCTGACACTGCTGGACTCGCCCACGTAAAGTCCGAGCTGCAGAAGAGACACACGTGCACAGACCTAGGTGAACTGCGCAGCTACCTTGGCTTGCAGATCACCCAGGACAGAGCACGGCGCACCATTACTCTGACTCAGTCACACATGGTGCAGCAGGTCCTTCAGCGCTTCGACTTCACGTACTCCTCGCCTTAGGCCACTCCTCTGTCTACTCAGCCACTTGCTCTCAGCTCTGCCTTCGGATGAGTCCGTAGAGCCGAGTGGCCCGTACCCAGAGCTTGTTGGCTGCCTCATGTACCTGATGACCTGCACACGACCTGACCTAGCATACCCTCTTAGCATCTTGGCACGCTATGTTGCTCCTAGAAGACACCGACCAGAGCACATGGCTGCAGCGAAGAGGGTGTTGCGCTACTTCTGCAGTACGTCGGGCATGGGGCTAGTGCTTGGAGGGCGACGTCGAGTAGTCCTCACAGATCACGCAGACGCTTCTTGGGCTAACGACCAGGCTACGCAGCGGTCGTCACAGGGTTACACCTTCAGCCTTGGTTCTGGCTCTGTTTCGTGGCGGTTTACCCGCTCGTCTTCCGTTCTCAGCTCCAGTTGTGAGGCTGAGATCTACGCGGGGGCTATGGCTGCACAGGATCTACGCTGGCTCACCTACGTGCTGACTGACCTAGGAGCGCCGCCTTGTTCTCCTCCAGCTCTGTACGTAGACAACAAGGCCATGCTGGCCTTGTATTGGGAGCACAGACTCGAACACAGAACGAAGCACATTGCTCTTCGCTACTTCCTTGCTCGTGAGCTGCAGCAGCGTGGTCAGCTGCGCCTTGCTTACGTGGCCTCTGAGGCCAACACTGCTGATATCTTTACCAAGGCACTTCCGCATTGTGATCATCAGCGCTGCTGTACGATGCTAGGTCTTGTGCCTACTTGGCCTCACTTGCTCACTTCTTGACCTTGCTTGTACTGTGATCTTTCTATACCTGCACTTGCTTATTTACCTTTATATATGATCTTGAATGTGAACTGGCCTTGTGGCCTTGCTCTTGTGCTCGGAATGTGTGGTGACGTTGTGATCCACCCTGAGCTTGCTTTGCTTGACTGGTCTTGTGACCTCTTGTTCTCCCCCACTTTGCTTATGGGGGTGTGTCAAACTTATATTATATAGCTTGTCTAGGCTATAGTGGGGTAGACACTATGGGGTACAGTTTCCTAGGGTTTCCTACTTGTACCCAACCTTGTGTTAGTTCATTCATTCCTCATTTTTCACACCGCGCACCTACTGTTACCGACGGACTGGTACATCAGCCCATCGTTCCACGTCAGCCTACGCCTGTATATCCCAACCACCAGCCAACTGCCTCGTCATCGCCCGCCTTCCATGACTCGCCCTGCATCAGAGCCGATCATCGAGCTCGAAAAAATTCTGAGCCATCCTATTCGCCACCCCACGGGAATCAGGAGGATTGAATTCCTCGTTTGCTGGAAGGACCGCACGCCAACTGAAGATAGCTGGGTGCCCCTGGCCAACATTGAAAACCACCCTGCCGTGCAAGTGTACCTGAGAAGCCGGGGATTCCGCGACATACACGCACTCGCGTAGCGGAGGGGGCTTCTTAAAGGGGGGGGGGGGGGGGGGGTAGTGTAAGGAATTTTCTCGGCATTCCTTACGGAGCCCGACTACATCGCGTACCTCAACAGCCGTTGTTCGCCCGTTACTGCTAACGGGTCTTCACCAATTTCGCGCGCAGTGTTTTGCCAAACCTCGCACTGCTGGCCCGGCCGTGTCTGCCTACGCTTCGGGACTAGCCCGAGCCTCGCTGCCTGCATTGCAATAGCTAGCTTGCACGCACCGCGTAACCGTTTGCATGTTTCGCGTATAAATGTTCGCTCATGTCTTCGCTCACATTTTGTATTCGTTTGACACTTAAGTGGAATCCTCGCTACCTCGATCCATTGCACCCGTAACGCGATGACGTCACTGCAGAACTGCAACGGAGTTCCTTCCTGGGGAATCACGTGGGTCTTGCCATTGATAGAATGTGGGTGAGTTGGCGGTTTCTGGTGTCCGAAATATACGACAGACATTCCCTAGTCGCTGAAGTTCGAACATTGTGCGACGCAGTCTGTTCGACTGTGACTGTTTTCAACTTCGTACGTGTGCAGCGCGACGGACTCACTGATCACTTATGACGGCTCTTGTTACCAGCCCGAGTGAACCGTCGGTGGTTCGAGCCTTCGATTGGCAAAAATGGTGCCGCGTTCTTACAATCGGTGCATTGCGGCTTTTTTTAAAGCTCGCGTCTCATATTTCTGCTATCCAACCAAGTGTTAAACGGTTGGAATTTGGTAACAGCAAAGTTTGTCGCAAAGCACACCAAAGCAAGGGGTGGTTTGGGAAAGTTGGCTGTCGCACACTTCCCGTGCACACCAAGCGTTTACAACTTCCGAAAATATGAGACTCTGAAACTCAACGTTGACAGAAGGGGGGACCGAACCTGTCCCCCTTGGCTCGTTTTCTTCCAAAACCAACCCACCCTGGTTTGTTTTGGCCTCGACTGTTTTGGTAGTTCGCTGTGATTTTTCGCCCGCTCGTCAAATATTTCGTTTTCGTTGCCCAATCACAGTCAAGCAAACCCAACCAAGCGTTTAACGGTTGGAAATATGAGACGCGAGCTTTAAGGGCGGGTCCAGCGCGTACATTTACAGGTGCCGTACAGTTCATTCGTCGTGGTTTGAGACAATATCAGGCGGTGCACAGCGGTTTTGGAATCGCACCGTTTTTAACCATGACGCAATACAGATTACCGTGCTGGATGAACTGTATTGTATGGAAAATGTACGCACTGAACCCGCCCTAATAACGTTCCAGCCGAAGTACTTGTCAAAAGTGGCAATCTTCGAAGTTCGATCCCCCTAGAGATCGGCTATTGACGGTTTTAAAGCTGGTTCTGAAGGTTAAATGGACAAAAAACAGGAGTACACTGCGGTGACGAATTGATAAATCGGCCCAAAACCCCCATCTTGCTAACATTTCCTGTACCACGTCCTAACAAAAGGTGCGGCCAGGCAGATGGAGCAGTCGTCTTTGCTTGTAGATTCTTAGCAAGGGAAGCCGTCACTCAGCAGCATCAGCTGCCTCTCGATTTAGTGAAACAGATTTAGCGTTGAATCCATCTCAGGGTGGATTCAGCGTGGGATAGTAGTTGTATGTCGCAGCGGGTTTTCGTTTCAAATGGAGCAAATTCTGGCGGACGAGGCGCGGGGGGATGTGCTTGTGATCGACGGCCGGCAGGTGGCGGGCGGCGGCGACGTGGCGGCTCTGTGGAGCGCGTGCGAGGAGAGGGTGGCCGTTAGGGGCGCGCGGTGAGTGGCGCGCGGAGAGTGGCGCGCGGAGAACGATGGGAACATGCAGCTGGGATATATTCGATCCTTAGCGAGAGGGGCGAGGGGCGGGGGGGGGAGGGGAGATTGAGGTCGAGGCGTGGCGGGCATGAATGGGGAAGCAGAGAGCGCAGCGGGCGATCGATGGGCGGGAGACCCGCGGGAGCGGGCGTTTGGGGGAAGATTTGAGCGGAACGGAGAGAGAGGGCAGGGAGGGGAGAGAGGGGGAGGACAGAGAGGAGGTAGATCGAGGAGGGGAGAGCGGAGAGGGGAGAGGGAAGAGGGGAGAGGGTGGGGGGGTGATCAATGTGTTTAACGAAACTGTTGATATAACAAAAAAGTCTGACATGCTTTCCCTCTCTTCCTCCTTCCCCGCTCCCCCCTCTCCGCCTGGCATGGGATTGAATGGGGCGGTGCGAGGGCAGCAGCGTGGAGTGGAGGGCAGAGGGCGTGCTGCGCAAGAAGCTCACCACACCGCATGCCATCTCGCAGGTGCTGCCCTCATTCCATTGCTCTCACGCCATTGCTCCCAATGCCTGCTTAGCATCATTGCGACCCATCACCACATCTCACTCCATCCTCCTACCTTCCCCTAACCTCCCACGCATACCAGCTCGCTTCCCGCTCCCCCCTCTCCCCACCCTTCCTCCTCACCACCCATCCGTGCCTGTGCCCTCTCCGGCCATGAGTGCAGGCAGCATGGGTGCGAATGCACGGGGAGGCGGCGCTCTCATCACTCGCGCTGCTGCACGCGCATGGCCTCACACTCGCCGCCACCAATGGTCAGTCCCTCCTGCTCCCTCCTGCTCCCTCCACGGCGAGCTGCAAGGGGTCAAGCCGATGAGCAAACGATGGGGTGCTGGTGGTGACATGTGGTGACATGTGGTGACATGTGGTGATGGGTCGCAAGGCTCATTGGCCAATGGTCCTCCCCTTGTCAACTGCCTATCAGTTTTCTTCCTCAACCCCTCATTCATCTGCTCCCTCGCCACCCTTCTCACACGCTGCTTCAAACTCTCTCACCCTGCCTGCCCTGCTCTCTGCCCTCCTTGGCCCGCCCTGCTCCCCCTGTCTGTGCGGCATGCAGGTGACATGCACGAGATGCCGCTGCCCTTCGCCTGCTCGCGCCTCTGGCCCCTCCCCATCGGCCTGCTGCTGCAGCCCCTGCCGTCCCAGCCGTCTCTGCATTCCCTGCCCACACAAACACACGCCTTCCCCCCATCTACACCTCTCCCCATGCACCCCCTCTCCCCTTTCGCCTCCGCACCTTTTCCGGCCTCCCCTCCATTCGCCTTCCCCATCCCCACTGCCACTGCTCCCTTCCCCTCGCCCGCCTCCCCCATTCCGTTCCCGGCTCTCTCCCCCCACACGTCTGCCATCACCCCCTCCCTACCTGCTCCTGCCACTGCCGCCACCGCCGGTGCTGGTGGGGCAGCTGGCGGGCAGGCAGGGCGGGCAGCGGGTGGCGCGATGGGTGCTGTTGACTGGGCGGATGGGGCAGTGGGTGGGGCGCACATGGGGGGTGCTTTCATGGAGGCAGGGTGCTTCACGCTCTCACATGCTCATGAGGAACTGCAGGTGAGGTTGCAGGTGGTGGTGGTGGTGGTGGTGGTGCAAATGGGCCAGTGTCATATTCCATCATCAATCCCACTCCCCACACAAACATTTACTTTCCACCTCTATCCCTCCGTTACCTCCTCCAATCACCCCTTCCGCCTCCTCCCACAATATATCCTCCACCACTCTCCTGCACTCCCCACAATGCACGCGCGCCTCCACTCTCTCCCCTCCACCCCTTCCCTTCCAGCCAGTGGCCATGGAGGTCGGGCCACCGTGGCAGCAGGGAGGGGGCGAGGAGGTGCTGTGGTCATCCACCGAGGTGCCGCTGCTCGCCACCTTCAACCACGGTCACGCCCCTCCCCTCCACTCCTCTTCCTCCTCACCTGGTGGTTTGTTTTTGTTGTTTTTGAATTATTATTTTTCTTTTAAAATAAATTTTAGATACTTATTCGGGTGTATAACTCAGTTTAATGTTATTTGGGGGATCGGCAAACCTGGCCCAAATTGGTTTGCCCAAAATGGCTTGGTTGAGGAATTTGTCAACCCTTCATAATTTTCAAATAGAACAACTACATCATTCCCCCCTTGACTTCCCCAACTCAAATCCATCAATCCTGGCCACTCTCCCAAGCAACCTGTCTTTCACTGGCAACTTCATGTGCGTCCACACCATCATGTGCGGCCACACCATCATGTGCGTCCACACCATCATGTGCGTCCACACCATCATGTGCGTCCACACCATCATGTGCGTCCACACCATCATGTGCGTCCACACCATCATGTGCGTCCACACCATCATGTGCGTCCACACCATCATGTGCGTCCACACCATCATGTGCGTCCACACCATCATGTGCGTCCACACCATCATTTGCGTCCACACCATCATGTGCGGCCACACCATCATTTGCGTCCACACCATCATGTGCGGCCACACCACACCATCATGTTCACTCCAACCATTGCTTCACTTCCCACCGTCCATCCTCTCACCACTCTTATGCACACTCCATGCTCAAGTGGCCCATCTACTCTCCGCCTTCCCCCTTTGCGCACACCACAACCCTTCCCCCCTCAGCCCGCCGCCAGCACTCCGTGTGGCACCTGCGCTACCTCCCGCACCGCTTCCTGCACCAATCACCTGACGCCACGTCAGCAGCAGAGCTGGACCCGCTACTTGCCGGGCTGAGCCCCGTGTCTCCTGCAACAGCTGCAGCTGCTGGGAGGGCGGGGGGCCAGGAGAGCATGTCGGCAGGGAGAGGGGGCGGTGGGGGTGGGGGGGATGCAGGCATGGTGGGCGATCTGAGGCTGCAGGCGGGGGCGAGGGGATGTGGGGGGGAGTGTGGGCAGTGGGGACAGGCGGGGGCGAGGAGGGGGAAGAGGAGGCGCGGCAGGCGTGGCAGCAGCGGCTAAGCTGAGTCGCTTCGCGGGGGTGGGGGGGATGGGGGCCCTGGTGGAGGGGTGGGGGGGAGAGCAGCAGGTGGGCAGGCTGGGAGTGGTCGGGGGAGCATGGAGGGGCAGGGCGGTGGGGGGAGGGGCGGGTGGGAGGGATGTGGGTGGTGGGGAGGCAAGGGGGGGAGGCGAGAGGTGGGATGCGGAGGGAGAGGGCGAAGGGTGGTGTGTGCGCATGACACGTGTGTGGACGGGGCTTATAGGCCAGGACAAGGCCTCCCACGTCCTGCTGCTCTCCCACACCCCCCTCCCCTCCTCTCCCCCCGGCCCCCCTGTCCCCTGCCCCCACCGCACATCCCTCCCTGCCGCCGTCGCGCCTCTCCTCAGTCCCTCGCCCCCCCCGTGGCTCCGCCACTCTTGCCTTCTGCTCGCCAGCCCGCCAGCGCTTGTGGGTGCGACACGTGGCGTATGGGGGGGCAGGGAACGGTCCGGGCAAAGGGGAGGCGGAGGAGGAGGAGAGCAGGGCCGATGGGGAAGGGGGGAGTGGGGGAGGCGGGAATGAGGGCAGCGGGAGGGTGGTGCACATGGAGGGGCGGCGCTGCTGGTCGGTGGAGGCTGTCTCCGCTGTGGCTCTGAGGTGAGTCACTCCGCACTCTGCACTTGTTCACCACGTGGTGGCCGAATAGCGAGGTATATCAAATTGTTGCTTTCTGCACCCATCAGCCTCACCTTCCTTCCGGCATGTAGTGTTTGTGAATCATCGAGACTCCTTGAAACGAGTTCAAGTCCACCGGGGGACTTGGACGTCTGCTTGCTCCACTATCCACGTGCCACTGCCACCAGCCAAGGCCCTTCCCATGCCGCAGCGCAGCTGCATGAAGCATGCCACTTGTGAGCTGCACTCATGCCTTGCAGGCTCCTTGCGCCGTGTGCTGCACAATTGAACGCCTCCATCTCTCCCCCTTTTTCTCCCCCCTTTGCTCCCTGCGCCATCCATCGTGCACCTGCGCACGTGCCACCCTTCTCATCCCAGCCACACAGCTCCCGTCACCCCTCTGCACCGCATCAATCGCTTTCTCCTGGTTGCGGACTGGCATGGCTCGCTCACGCTGATGGTGGGTCATCACAGCCACCTTGCTTCCACTGCCTTGTACCACACACGCACCACTCAATGTATCCCTGGAGCACCTCACAGGCACCTCACAGGCACCTGAAGAAGGCCTGACAACATGACATGACATGGTAGGTGGCAAGCGCTGCCCTGTAGCACCGTGCCAAATGCTACTCAAGCGGTGCCCTGTAGCACCGTGCCAAATGCTACTCAAGCGGTGCCCTGTAGCACCTGTGCCAAATGCTACTCAAGCGGTGCCCTGTACCACCGTGCCAAATGCTACTCAAGCGGTGCCCTGTAGCACCGTGCCAAATGCTACTCAAGCGGGTGCCCTGTAGCACCGTGCCAAATGCTACTCAAGCGATTGCCCTGTAGCACCGTGCCAAATGCTACTCAAGCGGTGCCCTGTAGCACCGTGCCAAATGCTACTCAAGCGGTTCCCAGTAGCACCGTGCCAAATGCTACTCAAGCGGTGCCCTGTAGCACGTGCCAAATGCTACTCAAGCGGTGCCCTGTAGCACCGTGCCAAATGCTACTCAAGCGGTGCCCTGTAGCACCGTTGCCAAATGCTACTCAAGCGGTGCCCTGTAGCACCGTGCCAAATGCTACTCAAGCGGTGCCCTGTAACACGTGCCAAATGCTACTCAAGTGCTGCCCTGTAGCACCGTGCCAAATGCTACTCAAGCGGTGCCCTGTAGCACCGTGCCAAATGCTACTCAAGCGGTGCCCTGTAGCACCGTGCCAAATGCTACTCAAGCGGTGCCCTGTAGCACCGTGCCAAATGCTACTCAAGCGGTGCCCTGTAGCACCGTGCCAAATGCTACTCAAGCGGTGCCCTGTAGCACCGTGCCAAGTGCTACTCAAGCGGTGCCCTGTAGCACCGTGCCAAAATGCTACTCAAGCGGTGCCCTGTAGCACACGTGCCAAATGCTACTCAAGTGCTGGCCTGTAGCACCGTGCCAAATGCTACTCAAGCGGTGCCCTGTAGCACCGTGCCAAATGCTACTCAAGCGGTGCCCTGTAGCACCGTGCCAAATGCTACTCAAGCGGTGCCCTGTAGCACCGTGCCAAATGCTACTCAAGCGGTGCCCTGTATCTCCGTGCCAAATGCTACTCAAGCGCTGCCCCTGTAGCACCGTGCCAAATGCTACTCAAGCGGTGCCCTGTAGCACCGTGCCAAATGCTACTCAAGCGGTGCCCTGTATCTCCGTGCCAAATGCTACTCAAGCGCTGCCCTGTAGCACCGTGCCAAATGCTACTCAAGCGGTGCCCCTGTAGCACCGTGCCAAATGCTACTCAAGCGGTGCCCTGTAGCACCGTGCCAAATGCTACTCAAGCCGTGCCTGTAGCACCGTGCCAAATGCTACTCAAGCGGTGCCCTGTAGCACCGTGCCAAATGCTACTCAAGCGCTGCCCTGTAGCACCGTGCCAAATGCTACTCAAGCGGTGCCCTGTAGCACCGTGCCAAATGCTACTCAAGCGGTGCCCTGTAGCACCGTGCCAAATGCTACTCAAGCGGTGCCCTGTAGCACCGTGCCAAATGCTACTCAAGCGGTTCCCAGTAGCACCGTGCCAAATGCTACTCAAGCGGTGCCTGTAGCACCGTGCCAAATGCTACTCAAGCGCTGCCCTGTAGCACCATGCCAAATGCTACTCAAGCGGTGCCCTGTAGCACCGTGCCAAATGCTACTCAAGCGGTGCCCTGTAGCACCGTGCAAATGCTACTCAAGCGGTGCCCTGTAGCACCGTGCCAAATGCTACTCAAGCGGTGCCCTGTAGCACCGTAACTCCAGTGCCAAATGCTACTCAAGCGGTGCCCTGTAGCACCGTGCCAAATGCTACTCAAGCGGTGCCCTTGTAGCACCGTTTGCCCAAATGCTACTCAAGCGGTGCCCTGTAGCACCGTGCCAAATGCTACTCAAGCGGTGCCCCTGTAGCACCGTGCCAAATGCTACTCAAGCGGTGCCCTGTATCTCCGTGCCAAATGCTACTCAAGCGCTGACCTGTAGCACCGTGCCAAATGCTACCTCAAGCGGTGCCCTGTAGCACCGTGCCAAATGCTACTCAAGCGGTGCCCTGTAGCACCGTGCCAAATGCTACTCAAGCCGTGCCTGTAGCACCGTGCCAAATGCTACTCAAGCGGTGCCCTGTAGCACCGTGCCAAATGCTACTCAAGCGCTGCCCTGTAGCACCGTGCCAAATGCTACTCAAGCGGTGCCCTGTAGCACCGTGCCAAATGCTACTCAAGCGGTGCCCTGTAGCACCGTGCCAAATGCTACTCAAGCGGTGCCCTGTAGCACCGTGCCCAAATGCTACTCAAGCGGTTGCCCTGTAGCACCGTGCCAAATGCTACTCAAGCGGTGCCCTGTAGCACCGTGCCAAATGCTACTCAAGCGGTGCCCTGTAGCACCGTGCCAAATGCTACTCAAGCGGTGCCCCTGTAGCACCGTGCCAAATGCTACTCAAGCGGTGCCCTGTAGCACCGTGCCAAATGCTACTCAAGCGGTTCCCAGTAGCACCGTGCCAAATGCTACTCAAGCGGTGCCCTGTAGCACCGTGCCAAATGCTACTCAAGCGCTGCCCTGTAGCACCGTGCCAAATGCTACTCAAGAGGTGCCCTGTAGCACCGTGCCAAATGCTACTCAAGCGGTGCCCTGTAGCACCGTGCCAAATGCTACTCAAGCGGTGCCCTGTAGCACCGTGCCAAATGCTACTCAAGCGGTGCCCTGTAGCACCGTGCCAAATGCTACTCAAGCGGTGGCCCTGTATCTCCGTGCCAAATGCTACTCAAGCGATGCCCTGTAGCACAGTGCCAAATGCTACTCAAGCGGTGCCCCTGTAGCACCGGCCAAATGCTACTCAAGCGGTTCCCCAGTAGCACCGTGCCAAATGCTACTCAGCGGTGCCCTGTAGCACCGTGCCAAATGCTACTCAAGCGCTGCCCTGTAGCCCGTGCCAATGCTACTCAAGCGGTGCCCTGTAGCACCGTGCCAAATGCTACTCAAGCGGTGCCCTGTAGCACCGTGCCAAATGCTACTCAAAGCGGTGCCCTGTAACAGCCGTGCCAAATGCTACTCAAGTGCTGCCCTGTAGCACCGTGCCAAATGCTACTCAAGCGGTGCCCTGTAAGCACCGTGCCAAATGCTACTCAAGCGGTGCCCTGTAGCACCGTGCCAAATGCTACTCAAGCGGTGCCCTGTAGCACCTGTGCCCAAATGCTCTCAATCGGGGCCCTGTAGCACCGTGCCAAATGCTACTCAAGCGGTGCCCTGTAGCACCGTGCCAAATGCTACTCAAGCGGTGCCCTGTAGCACCGTGCCAAATGCTACTCAAGCGGTGCCCTGTAGCACCGTGCCAAATGCTACTCAAGCGGTGCCCTGTAGCACCGTGCCAAATGCTACTCAAGCGGTGCCCTGTAGCACCGTGCCAAATGCTACTCAAGCGGTGCCCTGTAGCACCGTGCCAAATGCTACTCAAGCGGTGCCCTGTATCCGTGCCAAATGCTACTCAAGCGATGCCCTGTAGCACCGTGCCAAATGCTACTCAAGCGGTGCCCTGTAGCACCGTGCCAAATGCTACTCAAGCGGTTCCCAGTAGCACCGTGCCAAATGCTACTCAAGCGGTGCCCTGTAGCACCGTGCCAAATGCTACTCAAGCGCTGCCCTGTAGCACCGTGCCAAATGCTACTCAAGCGGTGCCCTGTAGCACCGTGCCAAATGCTACTCAAGCGGTGCCCTGTAGCACCGTGCCAAATGCTACTCAAGCGTGCCCTGTAACACCGTGCCAAATGCTACTCAAGTGCTGCCCTGTAGCACCGTGCCAAATGCTACTCAAGCGGTGCCCTGTAGCACCGTGCCAAATGCTACTCAAGCGGTGCCCTGTAGCACCGTGCCAAATGCTACTCAAGCGGTGCCCTGTAGCACCGTGCCAAATGCTACTCAAGCGGTGCCCTGTAGCACCGTGCCAAATGCTACTCAAGCGGTGCCCTGTAGCACCGTGCCAAGCGGTGCCCTGTAGCACCGTGCCAAATGCTACTCAAGCGGTGCCCTGTAGCACCGTGCCAAATGCTACTCAAGCGGTGCCCTGTAGCACCGTGCCAAATGCTACTCAAGCGGTGCCCTGTAGCACCGTGCCAAATGCTACTCAAGCGGTGCCCTGTAGCACCGTGCCAAATGCTACTCAAGCGGTGCCCTGTATCTCCGTGCCAAATGCTACTCAAGCGCTGCCCTGTAGCACCGTGCCAAATGCTACTCAAGCGGTGCCCTGTAGCACCGTGCCAAATGCTACTCAAGCGGTGCCCTGTAGCACCGTGCCAAATGCTACTCAAGCCGTGCCTGTAGCACCGTGCCAAATGCTACTCAAGCGGTGCCCTGTAGCACCGTGCCAAATGCTACTCAAGCGGCTGCCCTGTAGCACCGTGCCAAATGCTACTCAAGCGGTGCCCTGTAGCACCGTGCCAAATGCTACTCAAGCGGTGCCCTGTAGCACCGTGCCAAATGCTACTCAAGCGGTGCCCTGTAGCACCGTGCCAAATGCTACTCAAGCGGTGCCCTGTAGCACCGTGCCAAATGCTACTCAAGCGGTGCCCTGTAGCACCGTGCCAAATGCTACTCAAGCGGGTGCCCTGTAGCACTGTGCCAAAGGCTACTCAAGCGGTGCCCTGTAGCACCGTGCCAAATGCTACTCAAGCGGTGCCCTGTAGCACCGTGCCAAATGCTACTCAAGCGGTTCCCAGTAGCACCGTGCCAAATGCTACTCAAGCGGTGCCCTGTAGCACCGTGCCAAATGCTACTCAAGCGCTGCCCTGTAGCACCGTGCAAATGCTACTCAAGCGGTGCCCTGTAGCACCGTGCCAAATGCTACTCAAGCGGTGCCCTGTAGCACCGTGCCAAATGCTACTCAAGCGGTGCCCTGTAGCACCGTGCCAAATGCTACTCAAGCGGTGCCCTGTAGCACCGTGCCAAATGCTACTCAAGCGGTGCCCTGTAGCACCGTGCCAAATGCTACTCAAGCGGTGCCCTGTAGCACCGTGCCAAATGCTACTCAAGCGGTGCCCTGTATCTCCGTGCCAAATGCTACTCAAGCGATGCCCTGTAGCACCGT